GCTATAATTCCCATTACTAGAGATGGGATCAGCCTATCCATGAAGAAAATGAAAGATTCTATTAAATGGAAATTACATTCACTTTATTAATTGTGGTACTTGCAAATGAATTGAACCTATCTATAGTAGCTTAATTCTGAATGATTTTTTAAAAATGTTTACTTTATCAGTAAACATGCTCATTGTCCATTATGTGTCAGAACACATCAACAATATGCACAAAAAATCTTTTGTAACACATATGATTGTTATTTTTAGAAAAAAAAAGCACTGTCTAGTCACATAAAGAAACACGATGAGTAGGGTGCATTATAGTTTGTGAAAGCATTGATATATATAAATGATTGCAAAAGTCACTAAAATCTTTCCATACTTTCACAGAATGAGCTAGAGCTTCATAGAACCCCGCAGTTTTGGAGAAGAGCCATAAAAGCTGTGAATTCTGTCTCTAAGTTCATTAAATCAGGTCTTCCTCATAAGTGAGGAATTTTATTGCAAGGCACAGGCAAAAAAATAGAAAAACCCAAAGCATTAGAATAGTGTTGGTGTGTTGTGTGCTTGTACCTGTGTAACATCAGGTGAAAATCAGTCATACACTAGTTAATCCCTTGAAAAAGATTCCAGAGTTAGGAAGGAGAGGAATTATGCAAATTTTAAAATGAAGATTTAAGGGCAGATTTTCCCTTGAAACAAGTACAGGGTAATTCCCTTGTAATTACATGGGGATGAATTAATTACTTTCTAACAAACTCAAATAAAAACTTGACTGCATAATGCTGCCTTCTCTTTTCTTAATTAAAAATTTCCAGGACCGTTTTCATAATATCTAGATTTCCCGTCTCATATGAATTATTGATATATTTATGCTTTTTTACTAATATGAGGAAATCGGGATTACAAATCCTCCCTTTGATGATGCGTCTCCTTACGGGCTAGTCTATATCATTTTGTGCATCAGCAGTACACCTGGAGAGGACTCAAAGTGCCCAATCCTACTACAAAGGCCATTCAGCAGCTTTCTGCTGATTCTGGGTGTGGACCAGACCCAAGTTCATGATGTACTTTCCTGATGGTGGACACACAGCTCGAACATGAAATTCATTGTGCTGGGCAAGCTGTTGTTGTGACTACCATTGATTTGCCAGGTAGCTGACTGAGAACAGGTTGAGACAGTTTCCATCTGCAGAAGAGACTCATAAATCTGTGTGTCCTCAAAACTGCAAAAGAACTTCACAAGCCTAGCTTGCAGCTTTTGCAGCCTTCGTGGATACATCAAGTCCTTGGCTGCATACATTGCTTTGAACCAAGTATTTGTTAAGAAAATATTGTTTGAAATATAATGAAAAAATACCTATGGAATAGGAAAATTTAATATCAAATACATGCTCATGTATTTGTTTTTTACTGTGGAGTAGTATTTTTACATCTACAGAATACAGAGGCTCTTTGAATAAGTTTCAGCTCTGCAATTTCTCTCGCATTGATTGTAATTATGCATGTTTGTAATGTGTGTGTGTACATCAGAGACTATAAATATACGTTATGTATTTGAATAGTGTGTTGGCAATACTTGTAGCTAGGCATTCATTATTAGTGAAAATAATGTTAGTTTTGTACTAACTGTGTGTACTGCTAGCATTAATACTGACTTCTTTAGTTATCATCTGTATTAAAACATAGAATAGCAAAGAAATTAATAATCATTAGAAACTGAGGTGTTCAGGTCATTCATTTTGAATGAAGTTAATTTTTTAGGATCAGACCTGTGCTAAGGCTGTATGGGTGCCTTTAGTAGGGTATCAATATAGGGCATCTGCATCACCATTAATCCAGGCACAAATTTGGTGATGGGGTTGCATCTTCTACTTTAAGGGAGAGAGATGTTTGCATTTATGGTCCCACAGGCAGGGCAGTGATAGACAAAGATGATTTCACATCCTTTGAATTCTAAATAATGCAATCTCTCATAAAGCAGACAAGTTTGACTCACTCTGAGCATGATTAAGTTTTCCAGTAAAGAAGCTTTTCTGTTTGTTTTGGAATGCTGTCTAATAGTGGGACAGAGGGTCTAGCTATAGATGTCTCCTTTTTAAAACTGAAATTCTTGTTACATGTCTTGATATTTCTCTGAAATATAAGAGGTCAGCTTTCAAGCACAGGCGCAACAAATAAAGCTACAGGTGTGGAAAGCAGTTTCACATTTACAACACTGAAGCTTTTTGAGCAGAAACCAATACTCATTTATCATATTCATTATGCCTCTCTATCATTCACTTAGACCCTATATAATTATGTGTTTAATGATCTTTAACCCTCACATGTTCACAGCTTGCTGAAGCTTGACAATTGCTGTAAATTTTCATTCATATCTGGTAGAAGAGAGGAAATATTACTTTGTAAAAAATAATATGCTTTCTGACTCAGAATTTCACTTCAGTTCTGTGATTTAACTTTGAGAGTAGATGATGATGTTTAAATCCCAAATCCAAATAATGAAATTATTTTGGAAAATTGTTCTTTCATAGGTCATTTAGTGCATTTTTATATTAGAGTGTAAGAACTCCAAAACCTAGGAAAGATATTTTAATCTGTCAGCCTGGATGCTCACTATAAAAAGTACATTATTTCAGTAAATGACATATTTATGGCTTGTTTTTATTAAGGACTAAAAAAAAAAATTACTGTCATTTTTGCCATTAATAATCTTTGAGTAAAAACCCCTGATTTTCAGTAATCAGTCTCGATTTCAACTTTAAGATTATAAAATGCTCCTAGCTCTTCCACTTTCTGTTGAATGATTAGGCCTTCACTGTATAGTGTTTCAAACAGCAGCATGTATTTCTTTCTTTTGATACAAAGGACTTTAACTTATTAGAAGAAACAATTAACACTAATCATAGACTTTTTTCATTTTGACTGTTAGTATATTACTTGCACTGGAAAGGTTTTAACGCTTCACAATAACTTATACCAGAACTGGTTTATGAACCATAGCTTCTGTTAGATAATGTGGGTACATCTTATATCAGAGATTATATTAACAGCCTCTACTACTTACTAGAGAACTGGAGAAACTTTGAGCATTCTCAACTATCTGCAAGGGATACCTAGTTTATCCAGCCAGTACCCTTTTAGAAATTCAGATTACTTTTTCACTGTAAGGTTTTATGTAGTTGGATGAACTGAGATGTTCCCAATTGCTTTACCGAGTTGTGTGAGTCAGACAATGTTTTAATATGACATCACTCCAATTCAGCCATGAATGTTCTGCCAAAACCTTTGTATGCTATGTTGTTAATGTATAGATTTTATTCAGGGATCAAACAGATGCTTAAAGTATAAACAATCTGTTTAAAACACAAACAGTTTCTGGGTTGATCTTGACAGGCTCTGGGATCCTGAAAATATTCCTTCTTTATGTTGCTGACACCTAGATATAGTATAATCCTGCTTATAAGAACAATAATCTTTAAGACAAAAAAAAGTTGTATTGATGTATCTTTCTTAGGAGACAAAACTGCAGTATCAACTAACAGGAGAGTGCTGTTAAATTAACATAACATAAATGATGCTGATTTTTCTCAAGTAAAAGCTGATGGCAACTACAAAAAAGTAGAGTTGAGTTTTTTGGAAAAAAGACTCAGCTGGAACTTATGTCTATTTGTATATTCGTGTGGTTTGGGTAGAAAGAGTGAACTGGATCAAGTCACTTGTATTCACAGACAGATAAAGTGCTTTTAAAAAGCTGTCAAAACAAAGGTGTGGTAATAGCTGTTGTGGTAATAATGTGTCACCCAGCAAAACACAGAGGATGAACTTACACCTCTTGTAGTCAGTGGGAGTTCTGCTATTATTGCAGAACAGAGAATGCACTGGTGGCCCAAGACTTTGTACGTATAATAAACTAGATCAGCTGGAAAATCAAACCTGACTGCTGTTGCCCACTGTGCTCACTGCAACAATTTGAGATTCCTTTTTGTTCAGTGCTGCTAACGAGTTTTCTAAGCTCTTATTCCTGAACATCTAATTTGCAGATGTAACTGTATGTGACCAATTACCTACTGAAGAACCTGCAAAGCCTACTTGAGGTATGACATAAAAATCTACTTGTGGCTTGACTGTAGCCAGTGTTACAAGGGGTTTTTCCTACACCTTATTTTAATGTCCTAATACAGGTTCTTCTATTAAATGACAATGCTACCTGGTCCTAGAAATGACTGCTATCAATTGAAGAGCAAAATGCATAACCAGCAACAATTTCTGTTCAGCTGTCTGCACAAAAATGAGCAAACAGGAACAAGTTTAGTAGTAGTTGCAAGTCATATTGCAGCTATCCTAGTTATCTTTTGTGAGGCAGTGATAAATATAATCACAAGTTACATTTTTAATGATGTGTAATTCACTACTTCTTATTGTTTATATCGAGTCTGTTAGATTTACTAGTAAATAGAATTTAAAGCACTACTACTGTATATTTAAGTTATTATCCTGTATTTTTGAATGTGTTGACACTAACACATATGGTCCACCACTTGGTGCACTCATCCTTGCAAGTTAAAAATTATTGCAGAAAATCTGATATTTAGTGCTTGGCTCTGAGCCTACAAAAAAAAAGCCGAAAATAATAACTAAAAATAATAAACTAGATTAAAATATATGTTATTGTTAATCTTTCATTCACCCTTTGATCTAATAGGTTAAGGACATTCTGTACTTGTTCATTTTGGCTGATAATAGTTCTGAAAACATTTACATTTTAGAATGAGGACTTATATATAACAGCTGCTTTTAAAATAGATAGTCTAATTATGCCTATTACATTCCTTTTTGATTGGTATGCATACAAATCCCTACTCTCCTTGTCTGTTCAAGCTGAGGTATGGATCACTGGTGCTAAGGGTAAAGTACAAACGAACAGTTTGACAAAATGTGTAGTTAGACCAATGCAAAAAAATTCTGTGTGTAATTTTTGACTCTAAAATGCTTTTTTTTCCTTTCAGTTACACACAGACCTGGACCCTGGCAGCAGCAAAATCAAGTATATTCTGTCAGGAGATGGAGCTGGAACAATCTTTGTGATCAATGATAAGACTGGAGACATTCATGCAATGAAAAGGCTTGACCGTGAGGAAAAAGCTGAATACACTCTAACAGCTCAAGCAGTCGACAGGGACACAAACAAACCTCTGGAGCCTCCTTCAGAATTCATTATTAAGGTTCAAGACATCAATGACAATGCTCCAGAGTTTGTTGATGGTCCGTATCATGCCATGGTTCCAGAAATGTCTGTTGTAGGTATGTATGTCTAAACATCAATGAACTTTGATTACTCACAGTTTAAACTACGCCAGTATGCCATTGAGTTGTTGATGAATAATAAGTTATTTATTATGTTGTTAGCATTAATTTGCATATTTTCAAATCTCTTCTTGGCCAAATCTTTCATCTGCAGCACAATAGTATAGTCCCTTAGTAGTAAGAAAATGACTAACAGATGTATTAATGTGTCTTTCTTTGTCCAACAACACTTAATGGGCTAAATTTATATTCCACTTATGATGCTGTAGTTATTGTTATTCAGAAGGATTTATCAAGGTTTGTTCCAACATGACACTCTAATCCTATTGATATTTTGTTGATGTTTAATTATCTGTTTGTGTATTTTCATACACAGATGTAACACTTGCAGCATGTTGATACATACTTATTTGTTTTGTTCTAAGTGCAACTGTAATCAGCCAAAAACATTGAAATGAGAGATGCTCTGTCTGGGAATTGATTGATAGACTCTAGAGTGGACTTAACTAATTAGCTGTAGGATTTGCACAGAAGATGGAAGGGGAAAACAGAGAAAGCTGTGGACAAAGATGGTGAAAAGGGAAATTAACTGCGTGAAAGGGGAGAAAAAGAAAGGAGCGGGAAATAATCTTCTTAATACGTTTTACTTATATTTATTCATTTTTTTGGATTAGTGTGAATTTATTTCCTCATGGATTAATATATTAGAATTTTTTTGCATACTTTGTCCCTTTTTCTGTGTTTGAAAATATGTAACTATGTACTTAGAGGTGTATGTTTACATCTGTCAAAACAAGACAATTGAAGTAATGCCAAGGCACTTTGTAAAATAAAGCTGCACTCTATCAGAAAGTTTCAAATACACCTTTCTGTCTTAGTTAAAAAGAGGAGGAATGTGAGAAGCCAGAACCATCCTCTTACTCACATCCAGTACAACGAGTTGTACCAGATCATTTTCAAATGTAAGCATGGTGTTGACTAGATGGTGATACCTGTGGCATCATTTTTTTATCAACACTTCTCCAACTTCTCCAAGATTTTCATATCTTGTTTGCATTGAATTGCTTGTGCTGAAACTGATATGGAAAGTTTCAAGCCTGCCTGTCAGTTCTTTTATCAAAACATAGGTTTAATGTTTTAAGTTACTTTTAATTATACAACAGCACAATCATATTATGGACCTGTTTTCAGAAGATATTTTTGCAAAGCTTTAGGCAAGAAAATGGCTTAATCAAATAAAATAAATTTGGAAAAAAAAGAAGTAAGTAAAAAAAAGGATGGAGTAGGATAAGGAAGAAGAGAAACTGAAGGCAGTTAATCCTTACATGAATGAGACTTGTTCAGTATTCCAGGAAAAAAGTAAATGAAGATACATGCAGGCAGTAAAAGATGGTTTCTGATCACAAAGTCTACTATAAAAATAATTTATATCTGTGCATGTGAGCACTTTTCATAGTCCTTAGTAAAGACATAGCCCCTCCCCAAGGATTATTCACTGTAAAAAAGATGAGGAAAAGCAAACAAACAAAACCTAAAACCTAAAAGCCGTCACAGGAAACAAGTCAGAAGATAAAATGAATAAATATCTAGTGAACTGGTTAACATGAGGTTTAAAGTGTAGTAAAAGTGCATTGTGAGCAAGAGAATAAAAGGTAAAACAACAAAAGAGGGGAAAATGAAACAACTGAGAAAAGTGTTAGGGTGAAAGAGAGGAGAAAATGTAAAGGAAGGGCATGAGACATGAATTAAAAGATAAAACTTTATCAGGGAAAGCTTAATAGAAGATTATAGATGGAAGATAGTAGAAGAAATGTCCAATGCTTGCACATAGATGTCAGTTTTGGTGAAAGGAACTGATTTTTTTGCACATATTGCACATTTATCCTTTATGGTCTTTGATCCTTGCATGTCTTTTACGTGATGTTCCTAGGAGTGCATCTTTACAAGCTATTTCTCTAAAGAAGCACAAATATATGCTTCTGCTGTTTTGGTGAAAAAAAAACCACCACCAAAACCCCTAATTCTCACTTCAAAACTCAGAGTATGTTTGCAATTGCATTACATGGGTCATGAATGACTATAAAGTCAAGCAGCATGTGCAGTCAAGTCTGTGTCTTAATCTCTGATGGAACCAAATTTCAAGGCTGGAAAGTTGAAGATAAGAATGTTACCCCTTCACCAATGTTGCTCTTACTATTCTCTTCTGCCTTCCTCTTTTAACCCACAGGTAGCAACTTCAAAAGCTGCAGTAAATGATGTTCTGTAAATTATTTTAACTTCCTTAAAGTTTTTTTTGTTGTCTTAAAGTTACTTTGACTCTTTTATAACGTTTATAAGAAAACTTTTGTCTCCTTTCAGAGTTCAAGGAATTTTTTTTTTCCAAAGTGAGAGCATTTCACTTCCATTATCCACTTACTTAATTCCACATAAAGAGATCTCCACCCACAGCTAATTTCAACCTTAACATTTCTACAACACCATCATTGCTAGACAATATTCTTACTCAGGATAAAACAAAGTGCTACTAAACCTCTTCTTTCCTCAAAATGCTCATTCCAATTTTGATTGCTCGGAAACAGAAGAGGAGCTCATATGCTATATATAGATATGTATATAGTACTTATGTAATGAGGGTGCAGTAGAAGGCATTTTATTTTTGGACCTCTGTGGAAAGCAATGCAGAAAATGCAGATGAACACATTAGCCTGTCACATTGTTCTGTAATATAATGTTGAGGTTCTAACACAATGCCATTTTTCTAATAGCTACATTACATATGAATCTTATGTTCCTTGCTAGAAGAGATGTGTCATATGAATGTCAGTGGTATTTTTGCATGAATATCTAGAACATGAATCATGCTCTGTGGGGATGTGAACACTGCAATGTATATACACACTTTCTGTATGTGATATGTATGAATGTGTGCATGTCACTGTATGAGATTATCTCATGTATATGGTCATGGTCTAGCCTGTTTAATTTTTGTGTTATATATCAGTGATATCTGGAAAATCCTGCTTCTCTACTAAAACAAAAGAAAAGGATTTGCATGGCTTTTCTCCCACTACTTGGTGCAAAGACGATTGGTATTACACTGTGTTATCTCCGGTAGAAACGATGCTCACTTTTCAGCTGTCTTCACAGAACACACACCCACACACGTACTGAGTGGTGTGTATCGTCACTGTATTCATGGTTATTTTGAAATTATTTTTTTTTCTCTTTGAGGAAAAAGAGAAGCACATTCCAGAAAAAGTTTTGAGATGTAAATTGAATTTTCCCTTATTTCATGCTTGTGCTCCTTTCATTTTTTTAGGTAATTCCTATATAATCTGCCATAGTAAGCCCTGTTACCTAACTCCAAAATTATAAATTTGCTTGTGTTAAGCTGTTAATGTATATGGAGAATATGTTCTTTGCTGAAATGGAGCACTTTAATCTTAATTCTGATATTAATTTCCTTAAGGAATTAAAGATCAAAAAGTGAAATCTGTGGAATCACTTCAGTGTAACAGTGTTGCATTTCACAAATAGGAAATAATTTAATTTGTCTGTAAATCTTCTTTAATCACTTTTAGATGTAAAGGGACACACTGGTAATGAAACCCAGTAAAAACCTTTTAAAAAGAGATTCAGCTAAGCTTCTGGGAGGAAGAACCCCATGACTCATTTCTTTCTTTCCCATTTGTCTAGGAGCTCTGTATATATGCCTGCAATGAAGATGGCAAATTACGTAAATGAATGAACAATCTTAGAAGATCCATGAGGGTAATTGGATCTGGTTCTGCAGCTTATTTAAAGAAAAGGGGGGGGGGGGGGGGGGGGGTTGAAAATTAACACCCCTCCCCCCCCATCCCCCAAATATGTTGTGTTTCTGTGTTGCCTTCTCAGCTACACACAGATTCATTAATTCCCTGAAAGCAAACTGCAGAGGTGATAATGGGAGCAAAAGCTGGATATTGTCTCCCAGTAGTGCTATTTCAGGATCTTTTTTCAGGAGAGAAATGAGGAGTGAAATTTCTTGATTTTCTTCTTAGTGAAGCCAAGAGTGTTTAGACAGCTAGTGTCATGTTGAAAGACAGAAGACGACAGAAGAAGAGTGACAAATGTGTTGGTGAAATAAAAAAGGACACAGATGGAAAAAGAACAAAAGCCATAAGGGAAGAGAATTCTCTCATAGTTTTCCTGAATTAAGGTAAACAGTCAAACTGTAATAATATCCAAATACTAAGAAATTCACTGACAGCCATAAAAAAACCCCCTTGTATAATACATACATTTGAATTCAGTCCGCCGTTGCTCTGGAAATACTTTTGCCTTTAACACTGAGAATACTGACAACGTGAAACAGCTTAGAATAATATTTTTGTCCTTAAATGCCTCAATGAAAACTGTTTACTAGGGGAAAAAGGTCTTTATTGGCTTTCACTTGAGTCAGAATATCAGTTTCCAGTTTTGGCACAAGCACATCTACTTAGCGATGTTTTCCTTTGGATCAAAGTTTGCCCTTGATTACACCACTGTAAATAAGAAACCATTCAATCTTTTGTGTTTTGTTTTTTTGTTTTTTTGTTTTTTTTTGGCGAAAGCAGAACAGAGTTATTTAGTATAGCCAAGTATAGTAAAGCCCACTGTACACAGTGTAGTTTTTCTTTCCAGTTCTCCCAAAGATACTAGTTCTCTTCCAGTCACAAATTGCAAAAGGACAAAATCTGCTGAATATGAAATCAACATGCAATGTGTGATATGAACAGTGGTAACATAACTTGATAAATTAAAACGTTGTGATAAAAACCTGACCTGAAATGTTATCAAGATCAACCACACTGTCTTACTGGGGTTTTTTCTGTGTATTCATTGACTTTTAAGGCACTGAGAATGACTGTTAAATCAATGATATTTTGTCACAAAACTGTAGAGTAAAAGGACTGTATTGCTGAGGTCAACTACAAATTAGCCCAAAGGGTAAATACAAAGGGAGTGCAAAAGCTAAG